TGTGCTGTCTTTTGGCTCCCGGCTGCTGCTCACTTATCTCCCAAAGGCCGGGTGCTGCGTGCTCCTTCCTCACGCTCTGCTCTGCGGACAGGGACTGGAAGCCATTCTGCATTTGATCTAAAGCATTACGTATGTGCAAAATGTCATTAGTGATGATGGTTATTTATTAAAATCTAGTTCAGTCATATAAACATCTCCTTTCTTTTAATGCCTTTCTTTCAGAATGGCCATAGCCAGTGTTTGTCATACCTATGTAACATTTTGCTATTTCAATTGAAGATGTAGCCAAAAAGTAGTAAGTTTCTTTCTCTTATGCATTTTTGTGAATAGCTGGTGGGCTTTATTTGTCTGAAAGAAGGCATCATAATGAACAGTCCCATAGTCTTTGACTTGAGCTCCCTCTGACTGTGAAACCACAGGAAATTCTGTTCCTCCATTAGTAGTCCCCGACCGATTGCTTTTGCTGTCCTTCAGCGGGGCAGGCAGCCTGGAGGATCCCTTTCCTGCCAGGAGTCATGGTGAAAAAAACACGAGATTTTTTTCATGGCTGGCGTGTGTCTGAGTTCATTGCCCTCCTCCTGCCAGGAATGCACGAGATGAATGGCGGAGACTGGAAATCAAATCTCTGGGCCAGTGAAGTTATTAAGGGACTCCTGATATCTGTAAGCTGGGCAAGCAATTGCCATTAAAGCTCTGCAGAGATGATGTAGCTTGGAATAAGATCTTGCTGTAACAATTTATGCTTGTCAAGATTCCCAGAAGCTGTAGAACATGGCAGAACTTATGCAGAAAATAGATTCCATTTTGAATCACCAGAGAATTAACAGATACATGCTGAATGACCGGTTTTGTTACTGGTCCAGGCCCAAATGCTATTCGTTTGTAGGAACTCGAGAATGGGAAAACTCAGATGAAGGGAAAAATTGCCTGTAATTTGCATCCTTCAAAGCTCTTAATAAGGAGGTATATTAAAACAATCTAGTTGCAACTGAGGGCAAAAGAATCTGAAGTGCTGTCCATCCTACCTGGCCATTTTTGATGTGAAATATAAAAAGATGACTTGATAGGTACTGTACGGTCACAGAAGCTTAGTTTGTTTAGAGGAATGAACACTTTTTGTCTGTGTGGCAGTAAAGTAATACTTCTAGCCACATGTCTCCTTTTGTATTTTTTCTGCTGCTCAACGCTGTCATTTAAAAATTGATTTAAGTTTTGAAACTCTTCCTGGTATAAATTTTGCATTCTCCACTGAATTAAGTTACAGTGCAAGCTCAGATTGCTTTCTGGAGGAAAAACATCAGCAGTGGAGGCTCTGAATTATATAAAGAAGATCCTCAGTTACAATGTATAATGTATTTTAATTGAAGATGAACGAAAATTTGGAAATGCCTCCAAATGTGCATCTTTTTAGAGATCTCTTTGTTCCCAAGTATAAAACGACTTCTTCAGGGTTTCTAGTGTCGGAGAAGTATAACACCGTGGGATGGATTGGCAGTGCTGACACTCAGTGATAAGGGCAGGAGGTGAATATCAGTGAGTGACCAGGAAGAAAGGAATGATTGCCCTATAGAAAATAACATGGCAACAGTTCAAATATACCAATTTATTTGTTAATTAGTGGATGAAATCTGCTTTTTTCATAACTTACATTGGTTAAATTGAAACCAGTAAATATTCAGTCATTTAAAAAGCAATTTTGTATGATGGACAGTAGCTTTTACAGGGCAGCCCTGTAAAAGATTTGACATAAGTGTTGCCCAGAGATGACAAGCTTGTTTAATTACAGTGTCATACTGTTAATCAATATAACCTGCACGTCTACTGAAAGATAAGCTGAACTGAGATCTTTATTCCACTGACTATATTGACCAGCTCTTTGGTCTTCATTACAGAAGCTTAGACATTTTACTTATATGTAGGCACACAAAATTAGGAGTTTTAATCTTGAACTATATCTCATATTGAGTATCTGAGATGAGTGTACAGTTCTTCTGAATGACATGGGGAAAGTATGCTTGTCCAGGAGCATCCACGTACCTTCAGTTTGTGTCTTAATGAAGACATAAAAGGATCTGTTACGCTGATGAAATTCAAGATGGGAAGAGAGCGGCATGTGAGCTTGTTACTTGGATTTCCTGCCTTGCCTGGAAATTTTGTGTTGGTGGCTGAAAACTTAATAAGTATATTTTTCTATACACTATGTGGTACATGTAAAAGGGAGTCTCTCCAGCAAACTGCATGCAGTAATGGTTGTAATGCCTGTATCTTCACTTGGAAGTGGTGGCAAGTCCAGCAAGCTCGCTTGGCTGTATTTCAGGCTCAAAGCACCTACACTACATTTAGGAAAAGTGGTGCTTAGTCTGCCTGGCCCTATCTCTGTCAGAAAAATGAAAAAGAGCATGGGTCCGTGTTCTGGTAGTCGTGGACTCAGGCTTCCTGTCCGGGGAGAGCTGGGACTGAGCACGAGCTTGTGTGTCAGCCGTGTGTGTGGTAGGTTTGTTTGTGAGGGAGGCTGACGGGGCAGACATACCTAATAAAAATAGGAGAATTACCCTTGGACTCTGAACAGTTCAGTTAAAAAAAAATAAAAAATTGTGTTGCTCATATTGCCTGTGTATTTTCATCTGGGCACCAGAAGTTCTCTCTTGTCAGTTTTTCTAACCTCTAAATATTGCTTTGTATTTCCAAAATGATGCTGTTTTCCAACCAAGAGAGGTGCTTTACAGTAACGGAACATTTCTATTGGGTGCATAAAAGATTGTGATTTTCCAGGCTGTAAAACATTATTGTAGAGTAATCTTTATTAGTAACATCACCTAAATTTCAGAAATTGGCTTGAAAGCGGGCAGAAAAGTAGTCTTACTGTGAGGACATAAAGTGTAATTGATTCTCCCTCTATTTCCAGGTACTCCCACTGGAAAACAGAATGAAGGACACCACACGTTTCCCTCAGGCGCTGAATATTGGCATGGGAATAGTTATGACCTTGTATATCTCGTTAGCCACTCTAGGGTATCTGCGCTTTGGGGATGAAATCAAAGGCAGCATAACTTTAAACCTGCCACAAGATATATGGTAAGTGCATATGTGACTTAAAACCAGTAATCTAGAAGGCAGAAATGTTGGAAGGTTGTTCCATGCCTCAGTGCTGTCATGCTTATAGCTGATAGGTGCTCAAGGTCTTTTAAAAGTATACTGTATATACTGTCTCTGTGCCTTCTGCAGTTGAGCTATGATCCTAGCCAGCAATTTCTTGCGTACTAAAAGGAATTGCATATGGAAACAGATCAATGATCTTTGTAGTAAAGTATTCTGTCTCTAGCAGGAGCTAGTTCCAGGTGTATTGAAGGAGGGAATATGCAGTTTGCAACCAGCTATATTGCAGTTCTGAAACCAGCTAGTTTTACCTTCGCTATCCTAGTAATATAGTGGCCTTTTTTAGTGGAGTCATTGAGTTTAGCAGGTAAAAAACTGGAATAGAAGACGTCAAAGCTGCATAGATTTGTAGTTCAGATGCAAGTCCATGAATAATGCATAATAATGGCTTCCTATCAGGAAAATTAAGCTTATGCTTGCCAGTGTCTCAGGGATACTATAATTTTTATTTAGCTCTTTTTCTAATGCTACGAGAGCTCCACATGCCACGTGCTGAAGAAACGCTGAAGACTGTTTCATCTAGTGCATTGTTAGTTCTGTATCTATCTATGGGTGGATATATACCGTAACTATTTATTTAAATATAACTCCTAATTTTTTTAGTACCTTTATATCTGATGAGCCTAAAATTAGCTATATCAGCAGGGCACAAGTGTAACAGCTGAAAAGTATTTTAATGTTTTCATTCTGATCATCTGGTCTTACCTGTTACATGCTTGCATCTACTTGTTGTTTGATGTCTGTTATGGTAGCATATTGAAGTAGTGAAAACTCAAATTATGTGAAAGAAAACCTGCTTTTCAAGTGTTACTTTTTCACTCTCTTTTTCCATTTTCGTTCCTTGGAGTCAGTGTGAGCTATGCGTTTTTAATATTCTTTAAAAGTTTTGTTTAATTGCCTGACTGATTCCAATGATAAATACATTAAATGATAATAAAATGTGTCTTGAAGGATGAATGGTTTTTTTGTTGCTAGAATTTTCATGTCTCTCTTGTTGCTTTTTTGCTTGTTTTGGTTTTGTACTGCTATTGTAAAAATGAAGATTTGGGCCTTAGTTTTTTTGCCTGTTTTCTGGTTTTTTTTGTGTGTTTTTTTTTCCTATTTTTTCCTGTGGTTCTGTTTTTTGGGGCATATTGCTCATGATATACATTTAATTGTGTCCTTCCATTGGATGTACATATACATTAAAAAAACAGAAGTCTTCAAACAGAAGTCTTTACTGTATTCGTTCTGTCTATATGATGCATCTGAAAGGGAATATATTTCTATTTGTAATGTTACATGATATTGCTCGTTGTTGATATGATTAGTGAAAAGCTTGTTTTAAATGGTAGCTCTGGGTTTATTTGTGCCTTAAGAGAAGTGCTCTTAAAAAAGGAGGGAGAAGAATGTGGAATGAGGTAAGGTTGCTCACTCTGTTGCTTTTTATTGTGCTCATGCAAGCAACGCGACGGACTTTATTCTGCTGTAATATTCTGTTTTATTCTGCAGTCCTGCTGTCTAACAGGGCTGTTCAAATATGAGTTTTCAAATAGCTCTTGGCTACAGTGCAGATGTGATGATAAGATGGTATTTATCCTGATGGCTTTACAGACCTAATGCAAAGAAAGAGATAATAAAGGAGATGGAAACTGGTGTTCTATAAGGTGGAGAATTGGCCTTATAAGTTTAATAACCTCAGCATTGCTCAGGGCACATACGTAGAGATAATAAAGTCGTCTGTTTTCTTCTTACCCTGCAGAGTATCCCAGAGCACCAAACAAAATTAGAAGGAGAGGCAGCTCAGTGATATGCCTGTGGGTTGTGATGTACGATGCTATTGCTGTGCAGTACTGTGGGTCCACCTGATACAGTACTGTTGAGCAAATGTGTGCAATTAACTGCGCTAGCAAAACAGATTTCCAGTGAACCATATGACAATATTTTGTTCTTTGGTCCTCACATAAAAAGCCAGTAAGTGGCTGGATTGAACTAGAGAAACGCAAGGAGCAGATGAGTTTTTGTAATAAACCGGTAATGCAAAAGAGCCTGGAATGCAGCTAAGCAGTGAGACTTGGCTTATGTGTTTAATTCCAGCTGGACAGTCCCTATCTTAAAAATAAGCCTTTCTTGATAAAGAAAATTAAAATTCTGAGTTTTGTTTTGATGTTCTTCCAGATGAATTGACCAGAAGGCATACACAGGCCCTAGACCAGTTAAGTCCTTAAGTTTAATTTCAAAATTAATTTAATTAAATTAATTTAATTTCAAAAACATTCTGCTAGATTGGAGCTTTTGGAGAAGAGACTAGTTGCAGTTCTAGTTTAGATTGTGTTTTGGAGTACCAATTGTCACTCAGCATAATATATTGATTAGAATACGTTGAAAATTGACTTTATGAAAAGAGACTAGTTTTCAGCTTGTTTTTGCTGATCTTTAGCAACAACTTCTTTCTGGAATCAAAGAATTCTATTTTACTGCATTAAATAATTTTTCTTTTTATACATGCAGTTATATTTAGCTGTTTGGAATATCTTAGTAATTGTTTTTCATATCTTCAGAAGTATGCAGAGTACCTAGTGACATGAATCTTTTTACTGGGTTCGTTGCTGACTGAGGAGAGAATCATGGAATGGTTTGGGTTGGAGAGGACCTTTAAAGATCATCTATTCCAAACCCCCTTGCCATGGGCAGGGACATCTTTCACTAGATCAGGTAGCTCAAAGGCCCACTCAGCCTGACCTTGAACGCTTCTAGTGATGGGGCATCCACAGCTTCTGTGGACAACCTGTCCCCGTGTCTCACCACCCTTATAGAAAATTTCTTCTTTGTCCTTGGCTGGGGTCTCATCTTCTTGAGGCTGAAGGTTCTTTCCACTATCTGTTCTTCATTAAGATATAAGTGACAGTCTTTGTGCAACAATTCCCTTACTGTGAATCCCAAAGGTTAACTACCATACAAATATCAAAGCATATTAAAATTTAACAAGACGTTACACGGTACTAGTTCAAGCGGAAGTTTAGCATAATTAATGCCCTATTGGATCTAGGTGTATTGATATGCAAGTTTTGTTACACTAGTTTCCAATTTTTTCCTCTTAAAAGAGGTATAACAAAATCTAAAATTTAGAATTGAGGAGAGGCAGACTTTTGTTAACTTCTTTTAGCACATATGAATGATTTAGAATTTTTTTAAAAGGTAGGCTAAGGAGCCGCCAGACTATAATATTAAATTACTAGTAAAATTAGTTTAGTAATATAAAAATTGTTTCCTAATTTGAAAAGTTTGAATCCTTGTAGAGCTAAAAAAATAGTATAATGGGGATGCTTACTTTGAACTACTGTGTATTTAAAGTTTTCTATCCTGTTTTTTAATATCTTTTAAAAATATTTTTGTAAAGTTTTGGGGTGATCTGAAGCCTGAGGGTTACAAGCAAATTGTGGGTAGCTGGTCACTTTTTGTTAACCAGCTAAAATCCATCTAAACTTCTGGAATAAGGATAGTGATGCAGAGCTGATAGAAAAGCGACTCTGTTTTTTCCTCTAAATTTCTTAAAGCTGTTCAGCAATCAAAAAGAAGTATGTCACAAAAGCAGTGACTTCTAAACTAGCTACACCATTATGTCACCATGTAAAGTGATGTAATAGTTTTTCTGTCCCTTGGGGCTTTATTGAGTTGTGTACAGTGATGGTCAAACCTTTGATATAAATAATTTAGGACCTGTTAGTCAAAATGTATTTTTAGTCAAAGTGTATTTTTCTTTTTTCCCCATATATACACTTTTAATTCCTTCTGTATATTTGTTCAGTTAATAAAAAAGCTGGTTTTTTGTTAGCAGTCTTTTGGTATCATCAAAAATTGAAAACTGATGAACTGGCTTGCCGTTGTGAGACGAGAAGCACGTAAGACCGGGCTGAAAGGTCTGCTCAAGTTCATCAGCTGTATTCCTCGGCTCAAAACCACTCCAGTGTACCAAAACCATTACTGACTGTGTGTTCAACGCTTCCTTCGAAATGTTGAAGGAAGGATGACGGCGGCATCATGTTGTGGTGGGAAAGAGCTGAGCTGTATGGATACAAATACACTTTGAAGGACCCCTGCCAGGCTTTGAGAGATACAGAGACAAAGGTCCAATTTGTTCTTTCTCTACTC